AACAAATCATTTATTAGAGATCACTTTTTAGTCCTTAACAAGTATAATCAATTTAATATTTAATAAATTAATATCAGATTTATTAAATACAAACAAATCATTTTAAATACTAAGAAATATTTGTTTAATACTAAAAAGTGGTCTCTAATAAATGATTTAATTGTTAACTATTAATAAATATTTTTTGGTACAAATAAATCCTTCTACCAGTGCACTTGCAATTTTATTCTAATTAAAGGAATGAAATGTTCTCAAAAAACCAATTATCTTAAAATTTATAATTCAAAAATTATATTTATTAATTTATTAGAATTGATTTGTTTTTTTTTTTTTAACTAAAATAAAATTGTAAGTGTCAATAACTGGGTCTTTTACCTTAATTACATTGAATAACTTCTTCAAACGAAGGTTATAGATGGAGAAGTATGAAATAATAAAACAAGATTTAAAAATAATTATTCATTCATTATAAACATCATTTTTATATATTATATTCTTACAGTCGGCCGCCCAACTTTAAAACACATTAAAAGCTAAATTGTTATACCTAATTTTTTTTAGTATGGCTGCATTTATCATAACTTTTTGACCTTAATTTTTAATATTTTTTCTTAAAAATATTTATATTCAAGTATTTTTTATTCATATATAAAATTTTTTATCAATTAGGTAGGTGCGCAAACTTTTTTTAATAAGAAAAATTTAAAAAAATCTTAAAATTGTCAATTACTGTGTTTTGAAATTGGGCAGCCACAGTCTTCTGAATCACAATCACATAGAAGTATGCAACTAATTAGTTGGGAATGGGCTTTTGTTGATAAATAGAGGTAGCAAAGTACCATTCTTTAATTTGTAGCCGAAATTCGTAAATTCAAATGTTTCATCTTGGGGATTCAATGCATTTTTCCAAATGTATGTTTGAGCAAAATCTCGAAGTGCATGCAATTGCAAGGCATCTGATGTGCCCGGAATTTTAGATAAATTAATATTAGTATCAAAGCAACGAGGGAAAATTATTTGTCTAATAGCTTCATCCGCGGTTCTACCTTTTTTATCTAAAATATTAAAATACAAGGTTTCTAAACCTTTCAACCCCTTACCACTTATAATATTACAAAAAAGTAATATAAACAAATGAAATATACTATTAATTACATGTTCCGATTTTTGCTTAAATAACTTTTGAAAAATTGATTTCAGAAAAAAATTTATTAATAACAAATTGTAGAAAATTTAATTATTAATAACATTGCTTTCTTTAACAATCTTGATAAAGTTGATAGTTTTTAAGATAAATGATAAATAATGATTCAAGACACAGAGAGGCCGATGCAACGCATGAGTCAGAGAGAGACAGCGATACTTAAAGGTAAGGGACGCATACTTGTAAGCGCGCGAAATTAACAATTAAAAAACAGATATAAACATTGAAATTTTTTTAAATCTCTATTAACAATATTATTAACTATTGTATAGAGAATTTTAAAAAAATATTACTTATACATTATTTTTTTTTTTAATATATTTTTCATGGGTTGAAAGTACCCAAATTTGAGATTTTTCGAACCTTTAAAAATTCATATCTTTGAAAATATTAACTTTATCGAAAAAAGTTATAGGACCTTTTTTATTGGTATTTCAACAAAGAATATAAAAAAAATTTGTCCGGTTGAAAAATAACAATTCCTTGCAATTGTTTAAACAATTTTGGTTTAAACAATATGGCACCGGGTTGCCCCATGGCAACATGCATTTATATCATCAGTAGGGCAATTTGAAGAGGATTGCATAAAAAAATTGAGGTGGAATAGTTTTCGGTACTCATGCGCCGATTCCTCCTGGACTAAAAGGCTAAGATGATAAAAAAAATAATGCATGTAAAAATGGCGCTTGTAATATTTTTTATGGTGTAATATGAAACATACTTTTTAATAATTTAGCTTAAGCACAATTGTGTTAATTTTGTACATTGATAAGTTTGATACAAAAGCAAACAAAAAAGAAAACATTTATTTTTAGCTATTGGATTTTTATTATTTTTCTTGTCGAATATACGATTAACTATCAAGAAGTTTACAGAGTATTATGAAAAAAAAAAGAGTTTGGAACATTTTGAGCAATTAAAAAACTCTTTGGTTCTTTTCACCTGATTACTCCCTACAATATTAAAAAACTCTCTTGAATCGGAAAAATATTCTAAAACTATGTAAAACATTTTAGATATTTTCTAGACTGTCTAAAACTTGAAAAAAAAATATTTATCATGTAACGAAAACTGCTAAAAGAATTGATCAAAAATTCAATGAAATGGAAACGTAAATCCCATCAATCTAATAGTTTTAAAACAAAACTTCTAGTTTATACTTTCAATTATTATAAACTTTTAAATAGTATATACAGCGTTTGAAAAATTTGATAAAGGTTTAAATCTGATTAAATTACAGTATTAAATAGTGAAATAGTTTGTAACATTAAAAAAGAGAAAAAAAATTGAATTCAAATTTCATTTCTTAAAAAATTTTGTAAACTATTTTATCGATAAAAAAAATCACATTCAACTATCAATTTACCCACGCGTTTACAAACAAACACATTTCCAAGACACCCACTCAAGACTAGTTAGATAAGATTTTTTTTGACGTCAAGATAGAACAATCGGTTAAAAAAATAATTTTAAAAATTAAACAGAAACCAATAGCCCTTTTAAGATTAAAAATTTTTTCATCAGAAAGTTAAAAGGGTGTGGTGCATGCCTACACAGAACTTGCCTACATTTTGAAAACTCACAAAATGTATCTCTGTACGAGTCAAGCTAATACTTTTTTTTTACCCAGAAAAATCTCAACACAAGTTTAATTCTATACCGCGGTATCACTACTTACATAAAAATTATAAACAGAATATCTATGCATGCCAAGCGTTTACGATTTTAAATTAGCGCTGTGGAGATATAAACTGTGTAGAAATTTTAAATCTGAAAAATATTCGTATTGTGAGTTACATTTTTTGAGTTTTCAAAATGTAGATAAATTCTGTGTAGGCATGCACCACACCCAAATTAAAATATTAGTTTCTTCGTAGTTAATAATTTAAACTCAAAAAATTTTATTAATAGTGAAAATATAGAATTTGGTGATAAAAAATTTTTATTGGTTTGTTATGAAAAGTCCAATCGCGCTTTAGGAAGTTAAAATGAATCTCTTGTACGATTTATACCTTTAGTCATGCGTGGAAGATCATCTGTTCAGGTAGAAGAACGAGGAGTCAATCAGAAGATCATGCAAAAGAAATATTGTGGCATTGCTTCGTAAAAATAATTTTTTTAATTTAATAAGATTTATATGTATATTAGATATATATTGAACCAACTAATAAGATTTATTAATTAAACAATAGTGAACTAGTAACAGACTATTATCAAATTTCAAGTGTTTAAAAAAAAACTAAGGTACTTTATATTTCTTGAAAGCAAATTAATAAAAAATCTTTTCTACATAAAAAATACTCATTAGCTGGCACAATTTTAAACAGTCTGAAAATTAATTATTGTTAGTTACAATAAAAAAACATATAAGATTAATTACTCCCTTTGTAAATAGATCCAAATTCATCGGAAATAAGTGTGTTGCTTTCATAGTAAATTACTATGACTTAAATTATAAAAGTTATTATAAATATCAGATTTTCTTACAATATCTTGCACTCTCATTCGTACCAAATAAAAATTTATAAAATCTCACCTTTCCCATAGAGAATTGGAACATGGTCTGTAATCAAGCGAGTTTTTGTCTTAATCCCGACTAATAGAGGCGATCCTCTTCTTGTGGCCACACATTCTCCGGGGAAAAATTTACTTTTGAAACACAAAGCGAATGCACCTTCCTAAAAATAGTCTCAGTTTAATAATAAAAAAAATAAAAAAAAAATAATTCATAAATAAAATAGATACCAATTGTTGAATAACTTGTTCAACAAGTTCTCTAAATGAATAAGATGGATGTTGAGTCCAGAGATGATGAATAAGTTTAGCAATTACTTCCGTATCTGTTTCACTCTCAAATACATATCCTCTTTGTTGAAGAAGAGTCTTCACTTCCTTATAATTAGTCACGATACCTAGAAAATTGATAGCATCCGAAGAGATATTATTATGGAGATTAAATAGCATTAAACGATATCAAATGATCATAAAATTCACTTGAAAAATAAATAACAATGAAAAATAAAACGGATGGTCGATAATCTTCTCGAGATAACCGACTTATATATATTTCTATTTGTAATTAAACAATAAAAGAAATAACTTTACCATTGTGCACTACAAGAAAACCATGATCTACGTCTGATCTCTGAGGGTGAGAATTAAGCTCTGATGGAGCACCATGGGTCGCCCAACGAGTATGAGCAATACCAACATGACTTTCAGCTACGCCATCAAACTTAAGATCTGTACCTATCAGTTGGAAAATTTATTGAATAATAAAATTTAACAACTTATTTCAATTAAAACTATTTTAAATTACTGAGTTATAAACTTACGGTTAAATATTTCATCTACTAAAGATTGAACTTTTCCTGTTTTTTTAATAACAGCAATATCATGTCCATTGGATTCATCCACTGCTACACCTAAATATAAAAATTGCAAAAGAATATAATAAGCAGAAGAATTCAGAAAAAATATTATAAATAAAATTTTATTTTATTTTATGGTTTAAAATTTATGTTTATTAACTGGTTAATGACACTTTATATTAGCTTGAAAAAGTTGTTTTAAATGAGATAGCCGAAAAATGTTGTTTAGAACAGAAATAAATATATAGATGCATACTTTTTTGAATGCGTTCTTTGACCAAGAACATAAATTTCTCCTACTTAAAAATACAAGATGTGTCTTTTTTTCTTTCTATTCTTTATCTTTTCACCTTGAGAATATTGTAAGATTGACTTTAAAATCCTTTCTCTTTTTTTCGTCATTTAAATTCTTTGTCAGTGTATACAGTAATATAAAATATACAATGATACTGATAATTTAAAATAATATATATACACACACGTATAAATAATCAAAATTCAATTACCAGCAGAGTCATATCCTCGATACTCCAATCTCTTCAATCCTCCAACAAGAAGTTTTAAAATTTCTTCTCTTGATTTCGGAGTCAAGTAGTTCAAGTAAGCGAAAATTCCTATAAAAATAATAAAATTAATCAATTATTTTTTCATAATTAGAATTTTTTACGAAAATTTATACGTTTTTTAATCCAAAAAAAAGTGAAAAATGAAAAATTTCAATTATTTAATCCAAATTTAAAATTTAAAATTTAAAATTAAAAAGTCATTTAATATCTACCGCGTAATTTCTTGAATCGATTTTAATTTTTAAAAAGAGTTATCAATTCTTGTTTCTAAAATAATTTATAATTTACATATAAATCACAAATGTCATAAAATGACATTACTTAAATGTGGAACGAAAAATCTGTTTCTTACAAAAGTGTTAATAAAATACGGACAGATTTTTTTTATTTATTTTATTCAGATAAAAATTTATATAATTTTTTAAGCAATTTTACCCATTTTTTTACTGTAGATGCTACTACCTGTTTTTTAGTCTTTAGATGTAAAATATAAACTGTTAAGTAGAATCAATACAACAATGCACTTAGTTATCATGCATTTGTCTTATCAATAATTTATATATAAAAAAACGTACTATAAGTTTTACAAAAATATTTTTATCATTATTATCGATATTGATCCAGATATAGATTTCTATGATAAAAAATTTTACTTCCGTTTCTAATTCTTGATAATTAAATAAAATTTGTTTTTATTAAATAATAATAATAGAAATTATGAAATATTCGAAGGTAAACATGCCTTGATTAGCCTTTCAAATTTTTCTAGTATCGTTAAGAGTTACTTGAAAATAATATTCAATACATTCACTTATACAAAACAATTTAAAGGCGGAAAGAGTAAATGTCAGCCGCCAACTTGTAACCGATAACTTTTTTATTTGGTTAATCTTGCATCGGTATAACGTCGACATGCAAGACGAGAAAACTTTCACCTATTGGAGAAGTATGTTTCGCAATACTTCAAACTCGCCAGATTAAAATCAAGGAGCTAAGTATGAAATATAAATATCAAAAATTACCATAGATCTATGTTCCAAACTTTTTCGGTTTTTCCATTTTATGACGCAATAATTTACATATTTTTAATACTTTTATTTATTTATTCATCATATATACCATAAATAAAGAAATTCAATAATTTTTTTAAAAATTACATGAGTATTAATTTATAAAATAAATTTTATAAAAAATCAGTCTCTATTCAATTTTTTCATGAAAAATATCGTTAAAATGGTTATAAATTATATTGTTGCAATTAAGAAATAAAGAAACATATTTTTAGAAGAATATTGAAAGAAACTTCCATAACGTTTTTTAAAATAATTAAATAATAGCTGTAAAAAATATATAAAAAATAATCTTTAAAATTTAAAAAAAAGCAAATAAATTTTTTATTACAATATAAAAATTATTGTCTTTTTTTAAATGATAAAAACTACGAAACATCAAATGTAACAACCTGAACATATAAAGATACATAAATTATAGAAATAAAAACACGTATGTATTCAAAAACGTGTCATTTATCACCGTACTGTTAATAAGTGATAAAATTTCTTGTAATTCGCATGGAGTAATAAAAATAATAATTAAAATTTCTAGGGTAGATATATAATTTGATTAGATGTAAATATACTATAGGTAATACTCACCACACATGATTGTTTATAATAATAATTATTATTAATAATAAAAGTATCAAGTTGAATTAATGTAGTCGAAAAAAAAACAAACAGCAACAACTGTTGACACTCAATGACACATTCAGCATGAACGTCCAAAGGAGTATGCGTACAGCTGAGAAAGTGTTTTCACCATTTATATGTCACTACACGGTTGCAATCGACCAATAGGATGCCACGAGTATTCAGTCATTTTATAATGTACAGTAAAATCTTAATAAAGTTTCGTAGTTATGTCTCAACTTTTTCATAAGGTAACTAACAAGAGCAAAAGAGAAAACATACGAAACTTTATCGAGATTTCATTTTAATGTCAATGTGGCTAGTTGTCAGTAGATTCAAAATTCGTCCGTTCGAAAACGTAGCAGCGGGGTCATCTGAGTGATCCGAACTGATCCGAACGGAAATGTAGCCAATGTAATAATTGTAAAGAAATTCAAAAAGTAACTTGCTCTCTAACAAGTTATATACATTTAATACTTCATACATAACACTTAATGTATGTCAAATAATAGTAAATTCTATATAATAAAATACACACATTAAAACATTTAGATATCATATTTATGAAAAAAATTAAACTGTAACCCATGAAACATTACAAAAGAACGACAATTGATCTGTCTTCTAAGTCTGCTAAGTCTTCTAAGAGTCATAAGTAAGAAATTAGTTGTCGGTAAGGTAAATTTTTTGAGGTAACTGGCGGTGGAGGAAATTTAAATTTTATAATCTAAATTCAAACACTCAGTAAG